GGGAATGAAGGTGAGCAGAGAAGCAGACTGCCAAAGCTTTAGAAAGCAAACAGCAAAGACTTTCCAAACACTTACTTAGGAAAATTAGAGCTACAAGAGAACCAACTCAATAGAACTATAAGAATAGTTTGTCACTATAAGGAAAACACGGCCAATCTGCCAAATTTCTTTCTTCATTCAGTCAATGTTTTGCTCTGAAAACCCCTTATTATAAAGGGGAGCCATATGCTCACTTCTTCAAGATTAAGGACAACTGGATGATACTGGGCAAGGCCAAATTCTCATATTTACACCCATGCAATCTTCTGGTTTCAGTGAAGCTGCATGCTGTAAATATGAAGACAGAATTTGGTTTTGGATCTGTAATAATACAGAGCGAGAGATGCTGTTCTCAGATGCAGATTCACAGTATGGTCTGTGCTCTCTGTTCATAAGGGTCTTCAAACATTGGAGCTCCAGATCAGATAAAAAAGGTGGGTCTGCTTCCATTGGAAGCAGGATCTTCTCTCTCGCATAATTAGAGTTGCTCAAATCATTCACAGCACATTATTTATTTGATTAATTTATCTATTCTCCTTGAATTTTCTGCAAAAACTTACACTATTCTCAAGTGAAATTATTAGTAGAAAACAATTCACTAGACATTTTCTATGAATAATTATGGACCCCTAGATTTGCCAGCATTTTGTTGTAAGGCTTAAATATTTACAATTCACACAGTCTAAATTCTGATCAGACACATTTGTCACACTGTATTGCTTCAGTTCTCTGGCTGAATAAAGATATCTCTTACAAGCAGATTTTTCCAGTAGGTATACACACATTTATGAGTTAGAATTAACTTTTGACAAAATGCTCACTGTCGTTTGCTTCAATTCACTGACTCCACAAACATCTCTGCCAACAAATTCATTTACTTGAAAATTTGTAGAATGTGAACACAAATAGGATATAAACAAACTCAGTTTTTATTGTAGTGAATATTCATGGAATATACACCGACTTAATCACTCAGATGTGTACTTAGCCCTGATTGGATCCAGGCATTATCAGATTATTGTTACTCCCCTCTGTGCTAGACATCCAGCAAAATCCATTTGCCAATTACAGTTCATTCAGAAACCCAGCTGTCAGATTACTTATCAGGGGAAACATGGAAACCCCATCACTGGCTGCGTGTAGTTTTTCATATGGATTTCAAAATTATTCCCAAACTTCTTTATTTTGCCATCCTGTTTTTCCAGAGGAATGTCATAGCAAATGTAAGGCTCCCAAATGGTTAGATTTTTCATGTCCCTTGTAAGTGTGACTTGACCAAGCCAGGTTAAGTGTCTGCATTCTGAGGTTTGAGGGGCCTCAAATGCAATTAAGTAAAAATGCTTGTGATTTTCTAATGCTTTCTGGTGCTAGAGGAGAAAGAGGGTAGGAAAATCCAGAGCACAGTGAGACATAGCACTGACACAATATGATCCCGGGAAGGGGGGGGGGGCATAATTAAACTTAAGTTACACGGGAGTTTTTAGTAAATCAGTTCAGTTGTACTCGAATGTGAAACTGCAGAATTACTAACTATGGTTTGTAACCTATCTTTTACATCAGATTCTGTATCAAATGACTGGAAGATAGATAATGTGACTCCAATTTTTAAAAAGGTCTCTAGAGGTGATCCTGGTTAATTACAGGTGGGTCAGTCTAACTTCAGTTCCAGGCAAATTGGTGGAAACTATAGTAAACAGAATTGTCAGACACTCTACAGTGCTGCAACACTATAGTTATTTTTTAAGTTTTTCAGTTACAGACTAACATGACTACTCCTCTGAAACTTTTGAACATAGATGGACAGAGTTACCATTGGCTTTGTAAAGGGAAATCATGTCTCACTAATCTAGTAGCATTCTTTGAGGTGGTCAATGAATACATGGTCAAGGTGGAACCAGTGAATATAGTGTACTTAGATTTCTAGAAAGCCTTTGACAGGGTCCCAAACCAAAGGCTCTTAAAGTAAGTTATCATGAGATAAGAGGGAAGGTCTTCTCATGGACCAATAGCTAGTTAAAAGACAGAACATAAGAATGGCTATACTGGGGTCATACCAGAGGTCCATAAAACCCAGTATCCTGTCTTCCAACAGTGGCCAATGCCAGATGCCCCAGAGGGAGTGAACAGAACAGGTAATCATCACATGATCTCTCTCCAGTTATCCATTTCCAGCCCCTGACAAACACTGGCTAGAGACACCATTCCTATCCATTTAGTACGTATTGATGGACCTAACCTCCATGAATGTATCTAGTTCTTTCTTGAACCTTGTTAAAGTCCTGGTCTTCACAACCTCCTCTGGAAAGGAGCTGCACAGATTGACTGAACAGCATGAAGAAAAACGTCCTTTTGTTTGTTTTAAACCTGCTACCTACTAATTTCATCTTGTGACCTCTAGTTCTTACGTTATAGGAGCAAGTAAACTGATCACTATCATATCCTCCGTTAGTCTACTCTTTTCTAAGCTGAAAAGTCCCAGTCTTTTTAATCTCTTTATATGGGACTCGTTCCAAACCCCTAATCATTTTTGTTGCCCTTTTCTGAACCTTTTCCAATGCCAATATATCTTTTTGATATGAGGCAACCACATCTGCATGCAATATTCAAGATGTGGGCATACCATAGATTTATATAGAAGCAATAAGATATTCTATCTTATTCACTATCCCTTTTTTAATGACTCCTAATATTCTGTTTTCTTTTTTGACTGCCACTGCACATTGAGTGCATGTTTTCAGAGAACTATCTACAATGACTCCAAGATCTCTCGAGTGGTTATAGCTAAATTAGTCCCCATCATTTTGTATGTGTTGTTGGGATTATTTTTTCCAATGTGCATTATTTTGCATTTATCAACACTGAAGTTCATTTTGTTGCCATTTTGTTGCCCAATCACCTAGTTTTGTGAGATCCTTTTCAAGCTGTTCACAGTCTGCTTTGTTAACTATCTTGAGCAGGTTAGTATCATCTGGAGGTAGGTTCAATTGTTCACCCCTGATTTTTTGGGGATGTCATGGGAGACTGTGTCTAAAGCAGAGGGGCAGAACCTCTGGCCCATGGGATGGATGTGGTCTCCTGCTTAATTTGATGTGGCCTGTGGCAAGCCTCTGCTCTGTGGGCTGGAAGCCACAAGCCTCGGCGCCCCTGTGCAAGGCTTGAGCATGAGTCCTGGTGCTCCGAGTCCATTCCCACAAAGGCAGGGTTGGATTAAGAAAGGGGCGTTAGGGAATTGGGGCCCTGCAATAAGTTCTCCAGACTGCTAAAAGTCCAGAACTTTTAGTGAGCCCCCCTTACCTCCTGTGCATTATTTGGCCCTGCCTAGTCCAGAGCCCTTTACTGCAACCCCAAATACCTCATCCTCAACCCCACTCCAGAGCCTCGCTCCCTCCCACATCCACCCTCCTGTCTCAACCCACAGACCCCTCTCGCAATCTTTGCCTCACCCTGAAGCATAGGATTCCCCACAAAATCTAATAGCCCTGGCACCCAGAAGAGTTAATTTTGCTTGTAGCCCCTGACTGATTGTTCTGAGAGTCAATGGGTCCTGACCGAAAAAAGTCCCTTTCCAGTCTAAAGCATTATTAATATTAAGATACATCATGCCTACCACTTCCCCCCATACATTAATCTAGTAAACCTGTCAAAGGAGGAAATTAGGCTGGTTTGGCTTGACTTGTACTTGACAAATCCATGTTGGCTATTACTCACAAACCTATGATCCTCTAGATGCTTACAAAATGATTGTTTAATAAGTTATTCCAGTGTCTTTCCAAGCATTGACATTAGACAGCTGGTCTCTAATTCCCCATGTCACCTTTCTCCCTCCTTTTTAAAATACAGATGTTGTTTTTTCCCTTCTCTTGTCCTTTGGGACCTCACCCATTCTCAGTGAGTTCCCAAAAGATGACCATTAATAGGTCCAGAATTGTTTCAGCTAATTCCTGAAGTACCATCTGGTCAATTTCATCAGGTCCTTCGGAGTTTAATAAATCTTAATAGTTTTTAAACCTGTTCTTTCTTTTGGCTTGTGTTTCTTCACTCTTGTTAAAATAAACTGTATTAAGTACATCGCCACAATTTGCCTTCATGTCCTGAAATGATGGGGTAGTATTTCTTCCTGAAATAAATTGAGGCACCTGTGTGTTTGAATGAGCATCAGACATCCCCTACCCTTTATTTTTTTCCTTTGGTGTCTGCAAACACATTCTTTTTAACCTGGACACTGGTAAGCATGGTCCTCTACATAAGCCAGCTGTGCTGGTGTTCTATATTTACTTCATTGGGATGTCAAATATGTACAGTACTATTATACATTTCAGCAGCACAGCAGGAACATGCCAGCTGGATGTACTCTGCATGTTCAGGACCACAGAGATTCTCTGTGCCTGGGACTGAAAGCAATTTACTATGTGTTTGTACAGTGCTAACACAACAAGACCCTAACTATAATTGTGTTTTTGGGTGTATCAATATAAATAAAAAATATGTATAGTCTTTAACAGATTTCTTTGTCCTGGAGAGCATAAAATAGGAAGATGTGTAAACCAACTTTCACCAGTTTTCCTAATACATATTTTCTAGTGATAGATATTTGTAAAATAATCCTCAAAAACCAACAGGCTAAGTACTACCACTAATACTATTCTTCATTTACATAGAATGCCTGAGGATCCCAACATGATTCACAAACTGCATACATGCTGCTAAATTGAAATGTGACCACCACTGGAAGGAAATACTGAAGTGAAATGTTTGAATTAATGATAAAACCTGTATTTAATGGAAATGCTACCATTTAACTTCCCAGAGAACGAAAATGTCATATACTGCATTGAACAACAAGGGGTAACTTAACTATAAGAGAATTTTCTACTTTATGAATAAAATTGTATAATTGACAAAAGCCACTGTCCTGCCTAGCAAGGGAGAATGAACTAGGAGAATGGAATATTCTACATTACCTGCACTGCAGTTCTTCATCGCAAAGGAGTCCATAGCAGCTATGCTCCTATTCCCATTCGCAACATATTCCAGTGAGATCTGAAAAGGTTTCTTGAGGTATCCAACTCTCTTCTGCAGAAGCACCCATCTGGGCTCATCGTAAAGCAAAAGGAAAGAACACAGGAGAAGACTGGTAAGAAAGGAGGCTATTTTATAAGAAGCACATATCCTGGCATAACAGCTCAATTCATGACCCCGCATACTGTCACCTTATGATGGCCTATCAGTGGTCTTTGCTTCCTTTGACTACAAAATAAACCTCTAAGAAAAAACAAATCCACAGAGCTGAGACATCATGATAAATGGATAACATCAGCTAATGATAGGTTCTCTCTCTCTCTGGGTATGTCTACACTACCACCCTAGTTCGAACTAGGGTGGTTAATGTAGGCAACCGGAGTTGCAAATGAAGCCCGGGATTTGAATTTCCCGGGCTTCATTTGCATATTGCCGGGCGCCGCCATTTTTAAATGTCTGCTAGTTCAGACTTCGTGCCCGCGGCTACACGCGGCACGAACAAGGTAGTTCGGATTAGGCTTCCTATTCTGAACTACCGTTACTCCTCGTGGAACGAGGTGTACCTGTAGTTCGGAATAGGAAGCCTAATCCGAACTACCTAGTTCATGCCGCGTGTAGCCGCGGGCACGGAGTCCGAACTAGCGGACATTTAAAAATGGCGGCGCCCGGCAATATGCAAATGAAGCCCGGGAAATTCAAATCCCGGGCTTCATTTGCAACTCCGGTTGCCTACATTAACCACCCTAGTAGTGTAGACATTCATATATATATGAATTGTACAATCATGCCTTTGCTCCTAACTATAAAACTGCATTCCCTGTTAGTCAGGATTGTGGTATGTTTGTGAGGAGAGGAAAAATTCACATTGTTATGGCTTATGCTTATACCGGAAATGTGGACACAGAATGTCAAGGACAAATATAGGAGTAATGGACTAAGATACGGAAAGTTATATATATTTTTCTCTCTCTCTCTCTCTCTCTCTCTCTCTCTCTCTCTCTCATTCATCCCTTCCAGATATCTTGTGGCTGTTTAAAAGGAACCCAACTTCCTTTGCAAAGTGAACTATGAAATTCTGTAACACACATGCATGCCTCCTCTAAATACTTCTCCTTCCTGCCTTCCATGGACAAAGTCTGTTATTCAGATTCAGACAATAAGTCATTCTCGGGGGTTGCTGAATAGTTGTATTTCCCAAACTTTATATCTGCTTGATGTAATGCATTTTGCTTTTATGTGGCTGGTTAGAATGCCTTATGTGAGTTTTAAAATTAAATAGCTCATTTCCCTGTGCTGTTCCCTTAACTTGTGCTTTTTTTCCTTTTAGCTGGACTATAGCCCTAGAGGCTAAAGGCTAGGTTCAGAAGTGATATGTAAGGCTGGTGAAACTTACACGTTGCTAAGTGTAAGTGGGAGCAGTGGAGTCTGAGTTTATCCTGTTATAGTATATTCACCGAGACAGCAGAAGAACATAAAGATGACCAACTCCTTACATGTATATCTTACAACCCACCTGCTTGTTGGTTTTGCTGCCAAACCACATTTTCCTGGGTGCTCAGGATCAAAGCTGCACCTACTTAGAGACCCTAGCACTTACTTAACATGTAACTTTCCGTATCTTAGTCCATTACTCCTATATTTGTCCTTGACATTCTGTGTCCACATTTCCGGTATAAGCATAAGCCATAACAATGTGAATTTTTCCTCTCCTCACAAACATACCACAATCCTGACTAACAGGGAATGCAGTTTTATAGTTAGGGGCAAAGGCATGATTGTACAATTCACCATCTATGATTCTTTCTGCCTTTGGTCACTGGTAAAGGATGCCAATAAATATGCCAATGAGTGAAAGCTGCAAAGGGAGTGTGTGTGACAGGAAGAGTCATATTCTAGGAGCCAGACTGGACCCACTAACTCATTTCATGGGAATTTGTTCAGTGCCCTGGACAAAGGTAACTTTTAATCACTCCCTATATGGCATTCAAACCATTAATACAGATGAGAAATGTTTTAGATTTGTTGTATTGGCCTCTGAGCCATCCAGTTTCCCCTGTTCTTTAAGTTTCCTTTCATAGACTCTTCCATGATATCAAAACAAAAAATAGATAAAAGTATAAGATTTCCTTTTTAGCTTATTGTAATTGGTCACCTGGGAACAAACAGAACAGGTGTCCCATAAAGCCTGTTTGAAAATTTCCAAAACACCCCAGGGGCAACTGTTTAAAAAACAAAGAACAAAAATATATTGTACTTCTTTAAGTCACTTTGAAAGAGCAATTTTAGGCATTTTTTGAGAAGCATTTTACTTATTTGAGATTAATTTACAGGATTCAGTGGCAAGAGAGTGCAGAAGCAGTTGCTCTTGTGACTGTGTCTTGAAACAGAAGCTTCCTTATCAAGATTCCTAATTGCTCCATTGCACATTGGTTTGTTTTTAAGGTGTTGTTCAAGTGGGCTGGACACCGGAATTTATGTCTTTAGTTAATAAACATTGAAGCAGATATTTGAGAAAACAATTTACATGGATTCTGCATCCAGATAAGAACTTGCACACATTTTGACATATGTTACCTGCTAAAATCAAGCTCTCTCTCTATGCTGCAGTATTTATTTTAATGCATAATAATCACTATGAATAGGAAGGGCTACATCACTAAGCTAACGCTTATCCTACATTCTCTGTCTGCTCCTTTATCCAGAGACTGTTGCCCACATTTCCCACTTGCAGAAATCCATGCTAGGGGGACTATCCAGTGTGAAAGGTGCCTGCTAGTGGAATCTCTCAGGAAGCTGGTGGGAGAGCTACATGAGATGGCTAGGGCTTGGATGATCTTCAGCCACAAAGAATTCCTTGAGAGTACTCATATAGATACATCCAAGCTTGAGGAAGATATTGTTGTCTCAGGGAGGATACAGTCTGCTGGTTACTTTTGGGAGCAGGCAGTGCTTCATCACTACTCCCAATCCACCCACCATGATGGAGAACCATTATGCTGCCCTGGCAATGAATAATAAGAAATCAACTCCAAAGGTGAAGGAGGAGAAGCTATGTACCCTCAAGACTGGTAGGATAACAGCCACTACTCCCAAGAAGAAGAAATGTAGGGTTGTGATGGTTGAAGTCTCTCTTCTAGAGGAATGGAGTCACCCACTGGTTGCCTTCACATAGCATCCCTGGAAGTATGTTGACTGCCAGGGGCCCGTATCTGAGATGCTATGGAGGAACTATCAAGGATCATCTGGCTCTCTGACTACTACCCCAAGCTACTTGTTCATGTGGGCACTAACAATACTACGAGCTGAGACCCTCAGCAGATCAAAAGTGATTACAGAGTCCTGGGAGGAAAGGTGAAGGAGTTGGGAGCACAGGTAGTGTTCTCTTTGATCCTTCCAGTTGAGGGCTGGTGCCCAGGCAGAGACAGATGCATCCTGGATGTAACATGACTGGTGACACCATCCTTGCAACCAGAAGAACTTCAGCTTCCTTGACCAGGGGATACAGTTTTGGGAAGAAGAACTGCTATACAGAAAGGTGGTCCATCTTTCCAGAAAGGGGAAAAGCATATTTGGATACAGACTGTCTAACCCAGTGAGGGGGGCTTTGGTCACCTGCCCCCTTTCAATCTAGTTTAAAGTCCTCAGGTACGTAAAAAACATGGTGACCTGGAAGAGGGGACAGAATTTGTTGGAAGCATGGACTGTTATAGCAGAGTTAAGGAAGAGATAAGAAAATGGATAGGGGAATCAAATCAGTATCTTAGATGCCTATACTAATGTGAGAAGTGTGGGGAATAAGCATAAAGAACTCAAAATGATAGTAAATAAATACTATGATATAGTTGGCATTAGAGCGGGATAAGAATGACTGGAATATTGGTATAGAGGGGTACAGCTTGCTCAGAAAGAATAGGCAAGGGAAAAAAGGGAGGAAATGTCTTATATGTAACCCCCTTTTCCCTCCCCAGGTTACTCGAGAGCAGGTCACACTCACAGGTGTGCCTGGGCACCTGATGGTTTTGACATAAAAGGAGATCCTGAGTACCCCAGTGGTAAGGTTGTTTGGTTGGGAAAAACCTATCCGCTCCCTTGCTGCAGTCCCTTGCTGATAAAGAATGTACAATGGCAGTGCCTCCACCTGGTTGGCCCTGTACACACTTATTGGTGTGCCTTGAGAACCTCCAGGAATAAGTTTATTCCAGCAATAAAGTGGATCTAACTCCAGAACAACAGTTACAAATCATAAATAATATACATCTAATAGATTGCATTAGAATGAACAACCTTAACTTAAAGAAACAGGATTTAACAAATGAACAGTGAATAACATCAATTCTCAAAGTACACAGAAGTAAAAGGAACTTATTTAGCTGTTATTTGCACAACCAATATTTATCCCACCCCAGAGTGTACACACCCCTGGACTCAGAGTCCCAGACTCTTGCTTGCATGGGCACGCTTGAAGAACTGAAGCTGTAATGGAGATTCTCTGTAGGTAGTGTGTATGTGAGTCCAAACTATGCAGCAACTCTGGTTCACTGGGTTGGCCTCTGCCTCTCTTTGAACCCAGAGTTAGTCTGAATCTCTGAGGTCTGTCCCAAGCAGCATTTTCCCAAAGATGCCCTGTTACTCACAGTCTCCTTCTGTGTGCTGGATGCAGAGTAGCTTCTGGCCACAAATACAGCCAAGGCCTCCCTTCTAGGGCAATCAGAAGCAGCCTGCTAGATCCCAGTTCCACAGGCTCTCTGTCCCAGTCTGTAACTGCAACATAACAGCTCCTGAACTGGATAAAAACTCCTCCACAGCAGCCTGGCTCCCTTTTGTTCCAAAAAACAAAGGGAAGAGTCCATAGGTTGCTGAGTCTTCCTCCACACATGTGGAGAGACTCAGATCTCCAAAACAAAAGTCACTTCCTTCCTGTTTTCCTCTAGGGCTCATGGGAATTTCAGTCTGTGGTGCTAGATTGCAGCATACAGGGTCTTCTCAGAAAATATGCGGGGGCACCTTTAGTAAGGGGACTACGTATATATTAAAAATGTATGTATTTGAACTGAGGTTAAGATGGAAATA